TTCCCTCATCCAGGTCATTGATGAATATGTTGAATAGTCCTGGTCCCAGTACTGACCCCTGAGGGACTCCACTAGGTACAGGCCTCCAACTAGACTCTGTTCCATTGACCACAACTCTCTGACTTCTTTCCTTCAACCAATTCACAATCCACCTCACTACCCGATCATCTAGACCACACTTCCTCAGTTTAGCTGCGAGGATGCTGTGGGATACGGTGTCAAATGCTTTACTGAAATCAAGATAAACCACATCCACTACACTACCATCATCTATCCACCTGGTTACGTCTTCATAAAAGGCTGTCAGGTTGGTCAAACGTGACTTCCCCTTGGTGAAGCTATGCTGCCTGCTCCTAATGACCCTCTTATCCTTGATAGGCCTAGAGACAGTGCCGAGGGTAGGTTGTTCCATCCCTTTTCCTCTTCCCCAGCAGGATCAAGGATGAAAACAACCTGGGCCCTTACACCCTTAACCATCACTTCTAGAGGCATGTCACACTTTGATAGTTTCTGGCTCACCCCTGGCAGTTGCTAAGCTTGTGTGAAGTTATTTGTGGGGTGATGATTTGCTCATCTGAAAATTTTTTAAAAAATTACAAATTCAGGGTTGTGTCCTACTATCAGCTTAACAGCCACCAGATAAGTACCAGATCTGGCTTGGGAGTGGGGAGGAACTATGTGACCTAAGCAAGTGGAGCTGGAGGCCCAGACGGAAGGAGGTGAGTAGGACTGCTCTTGCCAGCTGTAGCAAAGCATTAGATGGGTTTTGCTCATTTGTCTACTCACAGCCTTAGTGTGCCTCAAGTGATACTCCTTCAACTTGTATAGTTGCTACAGATTTTTATGAATACATTATTTTTATTTCTTCTATTTGCATTAATAGTTGATAGTGTCAACTATTAGTGATGAAAAGTAGAACATTCAGAATTGTAGGACCTTAATATTAAATAACTTTCAAATTCACATATGCATCTTGATTTATTTTTAATTGAAACATATAAGGTACTTATTTATAGGTCACTGTCACTAATTTCTGAATTGTATGTTAGTGAAGTAATTGCAGTGTTCTTGGCTAGTACTTCAGAGACTCGGTGTAAGCAGCAAACCAAATGTTTATTCTAACTATGATCGGTAGTTGCTGTAACCTCTTGAATACCACATTTCAGGTGCAGAATGTCAGCTACAAGTTATGAATAAATCAAACAGTTCTGGAATCTGTCCTATGAAGAATATTTAAGAGGGTAAATGATTGTTAAAGACTTAATAAAGCTGCTTTATACAAATAATTTCAGAGGAAACATACTAGTTATGCACATTTAAGATGCATATCTAATGTGTTTGTATACTGTAAAATATGTTTCTAATTTTATGAACATTAAATTCTAAGATTGAACAGAAGCCCTAGGCCCTGCTTTATAATTTAAAAAGTCTGTGTAGAAAATCTGAGGAAAATCTTAGCTCTTAAACAATTGATCTCTTTAGAAAATGCTTTTGGAGATCTATGTCAAACCCTTAATTCTCTCAAAAATGATTGCATTTAGTCACAGGAAACATTTCTTCATTGACTTTTGCTTCTAACAGAGCTAAAGAGTTCACATTTCCTAGAAGGATATATGACTAATCTGCACGTGGAAGAGGAAACATTTAAAATGTTTCAAGTTTCCAGTGTAGTGGTAGAAACTTCAGAATGTCGTAGATTAAACTTTTGAGACTTCAAAATTGAAGACATCAATTTTGAGACATCAAATTGAAGTTGCTAGTGACAACTGGTCACTAGTTTAATAAGCTGCTATAAAGATGATATATTTAAATTTTCTCACTTGCAGTGGTAGAAAAAAACCCAAGATATATTGGCTTGGCTTCAGTATTAGGCAGAATCTTAGTCTGACTGCTTTTGAACAGTACTTTAATTATTTCCATGTTGAATTGCTTTTGTATAACACGTTAGTTTATTAATACAGATTCTGACATTTTTCAGCTTAGGAAGATGAGTTTTCATTGTTTCTCAGCTATGCTTCTTTTTGAAGCCACCAAGGTTTCTTGATTAATGGAGTATTTCATGTTTAATAAGGAATAAGGGATTTTTCTAATGTTTAATAAAAGTATTTTCTATATTTAAATTTATTAATTTGCCAATTGGAAATGCTATTACTACCTTGCAGTAGTTTACCTTGCTAAAGCAAAACGTGCTTGATATTGTCAGTTAATGCACACTTTAGGAGTTTTGAAACACACAAAACCTCCACTAAATAAGGATGACCTTTAAGTTTTTCAGAAAAGGTCTATGTAGAACATAAGGGAAGAAACAGGTGTTGTGATTACGTGCTTGAAATGCCATCAGTGTTCCTGAAAGTACAGTGTTGAAATTGTTTTACAGTTCTATCTATAATCAGTGGTGTGAAGGACTGAAGTATTTTAAGTTTTTCGCTAGAGACTGAAAGATTCAACTTTGCCTCTAACAAACATGAATTACACTTTCAAATGTCCTTCCTATCAAATGGTTGATATTTGCAACAGGGTTTATAGAACATGAAGTGAATTATATGTAGAATCTGGAAAGAAGGATGGGAAAACTTGATTTTTAGAAGATGGGAAAATCTGAAAAAGGAATGAGGGGGGGCAAGTGGAAAGGACCCAGCTACTTTACCTTCCTTTTGTTTTGTGGTTTTTTTTTTTGTTGTTCTTTTACCCTAAGCTAAATTTTTATTATATATTTTAATCACAAGGACAAGTAACATGATACACTGCTGACCTATTACACTATTATTGCTGTTTATTTTAAAGTAGTTAAAGTTTCTATGAAGAATCACAGTGGAGATGAACAATGTTTTGCACTGTACTTTAAATTTGTTGCTTTTTCAGAAATTGAGTCTCTCTTTGACCTTTGTTACCTTTATTGAAGTGTAAGAATGAAGTTTTAGTCTATTTTTGTTCTGCTTCACCTTTCTATGTTAGAAAACAGTTCTTAACAGATTGAGGATTGATCTTAGTGGACAGACGGTTTGTTTGGGTCCTCCATGTGTATAGAATAATTCCTGAGGCATAATGGAGTATTTTAATGGAGATGAATAGACGTTTTGTGTTACAACTATTTCGTGTTGTGTTTGCAAGATAGGGGCTTATTCAGGAGAGAGACTTCTATCAACTTCAGAAGGTAGTGTAGCTCTCTTTGAATGCATGCAAAATGTCGTCTGTTTGAAGTGTTACCCTTGCATATGAAATGCAAACTGCATAATCAGCTTCTGATCTCGGAAGTCTTCCAAAGGAGACTTTAAATTTAGATTAGTGTACTTGAGTCATGACAAGTCATGTCTTGCATCATGTCTTGAGGCTGCTGAATAACGGATGAGGCTTGAAGTAATTTACTCCAAGCTGATTTTTTAATTTTTTTTTTCTCTCTTGTTGGTAACAAAGTGGGCCTGTTTTGTTTTTTCTTGAAGACAGAAAATATGAATGCAAAGTGCTGAAAACATTACCATTGTATTATTTTCGCAACAATACGTATTTGTAGGACTTTATGTTGCTTAAGTAGACTTGAAAGAGTAGAATTTTTAAACCACGGTTGTTAGGACTGCTGGTAAGCTATGGAGGCATTTAAGAACCAGAATCGTTTGGGGAGTATTGAAACATTTCTTAAAACTGAAATTGTAATAGTTATATATTTAGAAATTTCTAACTATTTTAAAAATTTTTTTTCCTCTTAATATATTCTGAATGTTATTCCCTCCCAAATCCAGTTTGTTTAGTAAGTGAGCTTTTAATGAGATTGGAATATTTAGTGTTCTTCCTCTTAGTAAACACTCATGTGAAATAAAATGCATCCTATTTTTATTAGGATTACAATTTTAATTTAATAACACTTTTAGGATTAAAACTATAAAAATAACATTGCTTTCTTTCTTTTGTATTTCTTTCTTTTGCTTTCCTTAGGTCGAGATTTGATATGCATACAGTCCATGGATGGGATGCTCATGTTGTTTGAACAGGAAAGCTATGCTTTTGGCCGTTTTTTACCTGGTTTTCTTCTGCCTGGTCCCTTGACTTACAGCTCTCGGACAGATTCTTTCATTACAGTGTCTTCTTGCCGACAGGTTGAGAGTTACAAGTATGTGTTCATATTCTGTAATTATAGCACATTTTTGTGTGATCTTTTAATATGTAAACAAATTAAAAGTTATGTCTAATTTTTATTGCCTTTGGTAATATTCTATCTTAAAGCAGGTGATAGGTAGTTGCAATAAAGAAGAAAAATGTTGTAGGTTGTTGGGTGATTACTGTCTCTGTACATTCATAGAAGAAGGCCTACTGTGTGTCCTGAGGACTTCATGGTCCTATTTTATTTGTGTAAATGTGTTGTTTATTAACTTATCAAGGCAAATCGTGTTGTCCTGCAAGTGTCAGGTTTTTCCCTGCTTCAGTTCAGTCTAATCTGTGCTTTCAGAGTGGTCTGCACTACACTGCTTGAGCAAGGTGTTCCTTCCTGTTGTTTCCATGGGATTTTTAATTTGATGCAAATAGGTGTTAGTCTGATGAATGTGTTCAGTTTTTCAGAAGAGATTTGAGACAGGGCTTTGGCTTCTGTGATCATAGGATCCTCTCAAAGAACTGAAGGCTGGTGGGGAGAGATGGAATCCACCTGACAAAGTGGCAGAGGAGGCTTGTTAGCCTCCTTGACTGCTAGACTGAGGGACAGGTGCTAAATCCATCAGGTAGGTGATGGTATAGGGCATAAGGGTCAAGTGCACAAACAGGGGTGCTTTAGAGGAAGTGGGATGAATGAGGGGCCATATTAAGTGTGTATTTACAAACACTTACAGCCTTGGCAACAAACAGTTGGAACTAGAAGTTGTGCAGTTAGAGATGTGACAGGGTGGCTTGCATGATTAAGGTGCTGTAATTGATGACTCCAGGCTCTAGAGGAAGAAAAGACAGACAGGGTGGGACTTGTGTTCACTATGGCGGAGCAGCTTGAATACATGGGACTCTCTTACGGAACCACCATGTTGAGAGTTTATTAAGCATCCATCTGTTTAGAATCAGATGGATGCTAGAGGAAGGGGACATTGTGGTGATGCTGATGATAGATGTGTTGCTTTCTAACAATGTTTTTTCTAACAATCCTTTTAGACTGTGCTTTTGCTGTATATATATGTATATAATGTATGCATATAACATGTATACTCATAATAATTACATTTTCTTTTTTACTTAGTGTAAGGGTATTAACTACAAAGATATATATATGCTTTTTTTTTTTTTTACTTTTTTAAACTTCCTATAACAGATACCAAGTGCTGGCATTTGCGACAGATGCTGATGAAAGGCAAGAAACAGAACAGCAAAAACTTAGTTCTGGAAAAAGGCTTGCGGTAAAACCTGTTTATTTTACACAACCTGTATGGTACACTGCATACATGTTAAAAAGACCAATGCTAAGTAACCAATGGAAACATTGTCTGCTGACAAAGGACCTGATCCAATTGCCGTTAAAGGCAATGGAAAGACTCCAGTAGATTTCTATTAAAATTTCTTCGGGCCTCAGTTGTTTAAGGTTGGGCCTTAAAACTCACAGTTTCTAAGGAGAGGAAAAAACCCCAACCAACTGTGTGCTGGAAATAACTATTTCTAAGGCAGCCTTTGTAATACAGAACCTAAACTGTAGGAAAAAAATAGATGAATAGGTACACCTGAAATATTGCTCATGTTTTTAATTTAAATTTATTTTTGACTGTATTTGACTTACAAAAATAACCTTGTTCTTCTTGGGGAATCCTTTGTACTTTGAGAAAATTCAGCAGTGAAAAGTGTTTCCATAAATAGTCAGTATCCTGGACCCTTTTTTTCAAAAAACTGTGGATTCAATGATCTTCAGGAGATCTCTGTGACTACAGTTTTGAATATTTGACCTACCTCCTATTAAGAGGAAGAGAATTTCATTCTCTGTGGTCCTGCAGTAGAATTGCTTGTCTGCTAAATATAACGTGTGAAATGCTGGATTCAGCATATTTCAGGTATGACAGTAAAATATTGGGAGAGAATCTTCCTTCCAGTGGCTAATCGTAGAATATTTTCAAAGTCAGAGTCCTACATCTTGAATTAGGAGAAGACATAGTTTTTAAATAAGAAATTTGGAAGCTTCATCAGATATGCTGCAAATTAAATACTTTTTTTTAGTCTAAAATGAAAATCATATATGGAGACAAATGTAATAAGCCTGGCCTTTTTTCCCTTTGACTTTTAAGATGGCACTTCCATCTTCATGTATCAGATATGCCAGTATGTTTACCAGCACATTCTATGTTCTTTAAGGAAAATGATTGATGCTGTTCACGTAGGAAGTGCTGACAGTTGAACTTTGATATTTTTTACTTCAGAAATTCTAAATTTCTGTTTAACCAGCTTGGCAGCAGTCAAAAACAATTTTTGCATGTGTGAATTAGTTGAAGTTTCTCAGAGGAGCTGAAGTAACAAACCAATGAAATCTATCAATAAGCAGTAGTATTGTTTAAAGATGCAAGGATATAGGCTCCTGAGTAGTTGTCTATTATATTGATGTATGTAGTTGGAAAAGTGGACAAGCTATGATATACACAAACATTCTACAGATTGAAGGGTGTACATTAGTGACTGCGATATTGGCTTACACACCTAAAACTGTCTATTTTTCCATTTACATGTATTGTTAGAATAAGTTAGCACCTTTTGCTCTCTAACCTTGCCCTTAATATGTAAGGACATGTACAGAGGCAGATTTAAATGATTCTAATACTCTGTTCTTGGATTTAATAGTTAAAATAGAAATAATTTTCATTTTGAATGGAATGTGTATTTTAAAATTTAAGTATACTTAAGTGAACTGCGTAGCCATCAATTCATGACTTTCAAAAAGTAGGTGTTTTTGCTGCTTTACTCATGATAAGGAAAGTTACCAACTGCCTTCAAAATAAGAGGATAACTCTCCTTTGAAAAAAGACCTTGATTTTGCTTTTCTACCTATGCTAATGATATTCATGTAACTTGATGAGTTCTCAGCCTTCTCTGAGTTTTTTCTTCAATATGCAGCTGCCAACCGGAGCATGTTTTTTCTTTTGAAGGTGGATTGGGTTTTAAACATCGGGGAGCAAGCACTGGATATATGTGTTGTCTCCTTCAATCAGGCAGTTTCTTCTGTTTTTGTGCTTGGTGAGAGAAACTTCTTTTGCCTTAAGGATAATGGGCAAATTCGGTTCATGAAAAAGCTTGATTACAGTCCGAGTTGCTTCATTCCTTATTGCTCAGGTTTGTAAAAGGAAAATTCAACTTCTGCTTGGTTACTTTTACAGCTAATATGTTTTTTCCATTGAATAAATATATTTTTCTGAATAATTTTCTGTTGATTTGTAGAAAATGTGTGGAATCGGAGCTCTCTTTTTGGATGAAGCAGGTTTATTTTCAAAAGTTACGTAATGTGAAGTGTCATAATTTTTAGAATCTAAATAGATATTTTTCTCGTCACCAATTAAAGTACTTGTCTAGTGTTTGAGTAAGTTTGCCCAGGCTACCAAAGCAACAAACATGGAAGAATGAGAGATTTTGGAAAAGTAAACTAGTGTTTGAGGGCCTTCTGTCATTTACTGATAGCTAAAAAAAAAAAACCAAACCAAAGTTTACTGTTAGATTACACTAATTTATTACATTATGTGGAAACAACTTGGTTGGCTGCCAGTATAGAACTATGGATTCTTAATACCTATCCTATATTAATGTTTCAGAAACTATCTGATAAATTTTTGACATCATGTCTTATTTTAGACTTAAAATATAATTTTAATTTTAGACTTCATGATCTTAATCTTCACATTTTATAATTTCTGATTTAAATTATACTATAAATAAACACTATAAATGCGTACACCTTTAATCAGTATTCGCAAGTCAATAAATTGATGAAAAGTATAAGTAGCTGGTATTTAACCAATGTGTATTTTGTTATATCTACCCTGGCATGCCAACATGGCAATTATGAGTCTTTGTTTGTCATGTTATAAATTTCCAAGCATGGCTGGCTATAGAACCTTGGAAAGTTGTGGCATGTGTTGTGTAGTATGCAATTGAAATTGATATCCATAATTAATCACATGTCCTTGGTTATTGTCAATGTAACTTTCATAACTTTTGACACTTCAATTTTATTAAATTCATTTATAAGAAGTAATGGCTTAAAAGTAAAAGAAGAAATAGTGTAATCATATAAGCCTCAATGAAAAGTAGTGACTTTTGAAAATCTTCCATCCTAAAACTGCTTTTATCTTCAACAGTAAAAGAAGGAACAATAAACACTCTAATTGGAAACCATAGTAAAATGTTGAATGTTTATCAAGATGTTACCCTGAAGTGGGCCACTCAACTTCCCCACGTTCCTGTCTCAGTGAAAGTAGCAAATTTACAGTAAGTAACTTGTTAATGTTTACTTTTTTGGATTAATTCCTGGTTGTGAAATTTGCTTCTAGATCCTAACAAACGTTTTTGAGGTATGTAACAAATAAGGAGACTTGTAAAAGGAAAATTCAAAGTGTTTTTTCTTTTTGTAAAATACTCATTTCATTAATGGGCATGCTGTTAATTCTAGAAGATACTCAAATTGCTGTACTGTGCTTTAGATTTTATGTTTTTCTTGAGTAAAGGTAGAACCTGGGGTCTCATACCTCCAGTGGAGTTGTTTCTTCTTTAAAAGAATGAAAAGTGAAGTTTGCAATCTGTAAGATCCTTCCCTGAGACAGGAAAATAGGGAATCTCACTGAAAATCTGTTCTTCATTAAGCGTTTAAGAACATATGAATTCCAGAGGTGATTTGTTGGAACAGATTGTTAAACTCCAATGTTAAACTGTGGAAATTAAGGAACTGTTTAAATTGCTGAGGATTGCACTGCAACAGGCCAAAACTTTTTGTAGTATGCGTAAGACAACAGGTCAGGGAAAAACTGGTTGGGTGGTGGATCGACTGCTGTTACTGAAATAAGGAAACTACAGAAAAGTTTAGCTAGTGCTTTTACAATCCAGCTTATGGCTGTACTGTGGTGGGTGCTGGCTGCCCAGTGTCTGTGACCATATAGGATGCTGCAGGAGTGTCCTTGTCAGGTAGATCATGCCTGATCCCCATCAGGCTTGTGCCTGCTGTGCCAACATACACTGTTGTTTGAATACTGTTTGAGTACACCGACTGTTGTATACTTGATCATAAATTGTGCATTTTATCAAACGAAAATGCAACATCTGACTTGTGCTTTACTGACTTGTGCAGAGTAGTCTGAGGGATGTTTGTGTTTGGTACTAATGGTTACCTAATTTTTTTTTTTAATAATTTATAATTTAATTTTTTTAGACTCTCTGGAGAGAGTTGTGCTGGCTTTCATTCAACAGGTCTTACAAGTAAAATAGCATGAATAGTCTCAGTGGGCCAGTTAGTATAAAACAAATGTTAATTATGCAGGATATGACATTACAGCTTTTGAAGTTTGAAAAAAATTTGTGTCAGAAAAAAATTGAAAAAGGCATTGATTTTTACAACAGCAGATTGTACTAACTTTTGTATATACAATTATTTATTTGGAAACTCATATTATTGAACCATCTGTTTCAATAATGCCTCTAAGAAGTTCATGCAGATTCTGCTTGTTCTGTGTGAACTTTAACACTGAGTGGTTTGATCTTAGTGAGAATTTTGAGAGCCTACTAATTTGTCCCAAATCATTTTGCTAGTTAGATTCCCACCGGCCTACTAATGCTAGGGCTTGGTTTGGGGGTTTGTTCTATGCAGGGTGGAGAGAGAGCAATCCAGTTATACAAACTGGTTTATACAAGTGCTAATAAATGAAGGATTGTCTGTGTGCGTTTGTGTAGAGCCAATGACCTGAAAGGCAGGGAGAAGTCTAGGGCATTCGTGTTTCAGAGCTATGCTTCTGTCTTTCTATTTAAAAATTTGTGGTATGCTTGTACTTCTTTCTGACATGAAAAATAAAGATGAGCTAAACAGCAATAACTGTAGTAAAGCTTATAGAGGTTGTTATTTGTCTTTAACAAAACATATGTTTTGTACAAAAAAAAAATCGAAAAGGAATTCTTTGTGAGTCCTTGTGATAATGATTTTCTAATACTCCACTCAAGAGAGGCCTCAGTCTCAGCTGGTGCCTCTGGGCACTACTGTAACATAAATAATATTAAATACTTTAATAAGCATAGAGTTGTTAATCCTACACTGCTGAGAGATTGAAGTTCCTTAAATATGATGTATGTCAATTAATTACTTTCACATCCTTTCCACTTTTGTTGTAATAATACTTACAAAGTAAATGGAGTGTTCTGAAAGCAGTTGTCTGTGCAGATGATGTATGTTCACCTGTATTTTCTTGTTGGCATAATGTCTATTACTTCTAATGTACGGCTCTGGCTTGCTGGATAAGAAAAGCATTATTAGAAGCTATTTTATGTAAATCCCTTGGGGCAGGGGTAATGATTGCCTCATAAAGGCAGTCATACACTTTATCCTGTAATCTTGATAGTCTACTTGTAAGATCAACTGTTCAAGTGCTTTGGAGAATTCTAGCTAAGTACTTTGTGTTTCTAGTGTGTGCTCCTCCTTATTCTTCATGAATTGATTTTTCCTCTTACAATAATGTGAAATACAGTATTTTCCTATTGCAATACCAGTATGTAAATAATGATAACACACTACAACATTTTGGATTAAGTTCCAGCATAAAATGCTTAATTTCCATCACATTTTCAGAAACATGCTAGGAAAAACAGCGGCAAACATAAGTGGTTACTTATAACATTTTTCATGAGGTGTCTCTACACTCTAAAAGTGATGTATTTTTAAGCTGTTGAACTACACTTTTTGCCTTCTGTTAAAACTTGAATGTTCTCTGGCAGGAAACTGAAAATTTCCTATAAAAGCTTGTGATCAGAAACTTGAACTACAGGCAAAAATTTGAGAATCTACCTTATTCTGGGTTTTATCTGAACATCTCTTTAATTGTGATCACTGAACTGGAAGTTCAGTTCTAATCATTGTTATACAAGTTTGTCCCTTATTTTTGTAGGAAGTTTATATTCTGGTTCTGTTAATATATAGTAGTTACTAACTGTTTATGACATTGTTTTAATGTCAAGGAGACTCCTACATGCTTAACACTGGCTGGATTACTTCAGAGGTAAAATCAGTTACATTGAAAATTTGAATTAATTTAAACTGCTTTGGACTTTGTCTCAGCATAAATTCATCTTGCCATTGATAAGCCTGCTTGGACAGTTACATTTTTGCATGCCTTAAAGTTATGGCTGTGCAAAGGCATTCTCACTGAAGTTGAAACTCTTGAAGAAAATGATTTAGGTGTTCTGCCTGAATTGATTGGAAAACACCCAACCACCCCCCAAAAACCCAACCAAAAAACCCTTCTAAAGTGATTTGAAGAGAAACTGTCCATATGCTATAGTTAGAACAGCTGAAATCTGGGAAGTTACACAAAGGAATTACAAGAAATGCTACTCCCCTCAAATTTTTGTTGTTGAAATGGTAATCGTGAGCAGCAGTATTTGCTTGGTATCCACCATAATTATATAAATATCTTCTTATCATTGATATCAAAGTCCATTCACTTTTTTCTTGCCCTTTAGTTTCCATTTTTCTGTTTCATCAGAGACCTCCTCTAAGATCTTCCTTGTATCTCCGCATCTCCTTTGCGAAGTAAATTTCTTATGGTTATAGATTGTTGATTCTGTGAATTTGTTACTTTTTGATGCTTCTTGGGATGTGTTGGATTTTTTTTCTTTCTCTCTCCACTCCCTCCCTCGTAATTCAGGTAATTGTGTGTGGAGCAACCCCATAGGAATGTGATTCCTACACAGAGTTCCTGTTAGCTGAATCACCTCATATGAAAGTAAATTTTTTCCTATTGACAGGGATTTGAGCCTGTAAAGGCAAGTAACTTAATACTCCCCCACGAAAAAGGTGGGTTACGTTTGTCTGAATCATCTGAAATAACTTGTTCAGAAATTAGCAGAAAGTCACTTTTTAAGGGCTTATCACAAGTTGTCCTTGTGTTTCTGTGCCTGAATTATCCTGTCTCCATATGCTTGACCATAAAAAGGCCTTGCAGTAAATTCAAATACTTAGACAACTACCTTTCTGTTTATTTGACATTAACTCACTTCGCAAAACTGTCCCTGAGAGTACCACGTTTTAATGGGTGATTGATTGCACTAGGTGTTACTCTGACCCGACTGGCCTGAAACTAGAACATTATGTTAAGGTGCTCTCAGTCTGAACCAAAATAGCTCGTGTTGCTAGCCTCAGGGGTGTTCCCATCACGAACATCTGAAATGCCACTGTGGGTTGAGTTAAAACCATGTAGATACAACATTATTGCTTGCGTGTAGTCTCAGGAAAGGGATTTCTGTTTTGATCACTTACAAGTTACAAACCTGTTTTTGCAATAGCAAAGCATAGAGCCTTTAAATCAGGGACTTTGTTTCTTCTGAACATTTTTAAAGCTCACTAGTCTTAGTTTTACTACTTGGTTTTGTTTGTATGCAGCCTTCAAGTTATATCTGATATGCCTGTGACTGTTAAAAGGTAACCTGACTTTTTTTCTTTTAAACTGAAGTAAACTGCTAACTTCCTCAAATGCCTCTTTTTTTCAGGTCAGTATTTCATGATGTCCCTAATTTTGATTCTTTGTGCTTTTGGCTATCCATCAAGAAATGAAGTCTGGTGGTATTTATATGGCAATATAATGTTAATTTCATGTGGAATTTATCAGCAGGCACAGTTCTAACCGTAAAACAGCCTTCTCTCAGGGTTTAGGGCATGTGTTGTGGGAAAGATATTCCTTCCCTCTTTCTTTAATCTTTTGGGGATTCTTTAGGCCCCAGTTTATCAGTGAACTTCATGTTTAGATGAAGGATAATTTCACCTTCAGCCACATTCTATATTCACATATAGAAATTCCCAAAAGAAGTACTGTCCAATTTTCTTACTACTTGTAAGACGAAGTAATTCAGTAGGTCATCAGTTCCTGTATGAGTCCTCCTTCCCCTTCCAGAAATAATAAAGGAGAGATTATTTGACTGATGAAGGTACTGAAAATTAATTTTTTATGTGATTACGTTAGTGTTTGAATATTTGTATTGTCCCATGTGGTGCTGATAGCCATGGCTACTGCACTTTCCTGTCTTTTGGAAAATCCCCACTTGTGTTAGTTACATGGGTGCGTTACAAGAGAGTATTTTAAGATAGTTTTAAACACTTAAAAGTTAGTTTTGGAGACAGTTGCTTCTGATTTACTGAAGCAATAGTCTCTTGCTACATGCTGAGTTATCATTTTATGTCTAGCTGCCTCTTTCCTTTTTTCTTGCATCTTTTCTGATAAAAGTATGTGTAATGTGTA